TCAGGCTGCACCCCGGGGTGCCCAGGCTCCCCGTGGGGCACCCAGCGCTGCTCCCCAGGGTGCTCAGGCTGCACCCCCGCCTTCACCTTGCACCCCCATGGGTGCCCACCTCCCTCCCTGGCTGCCCACGCCACCTCTCCACCGGTGTCCAGGGATTTTTAGGGGCCGTGAGATGGACCCACGGGAGCTGCATCACCACAGGATTTCACCCCGGGTGGGATCTCTGGATTTTCCATGTGACTGTGACTTATCCACGGCTGAGCATTGCCGCCGGACCGGGAACATGACATCGTGTCTCGCCGCAACGAAAGCAACTTGGGGAAAAATCGCGGAGCCAGCGATGCTGACAGCCCCAAGGGAGCTGCTGGCAGTGGTGGCGGTGGCGGCAAGACCATTAGGAAATATTCAATTCATGGAAAATGGGTAAATTGTGAAGGATTTGCATGGAAGCGCAGGAAATAAAGCTGGAAGGGACTGCAAAGGTTCTGGATAGCTTTAGTGCTCTCCCTTCTCCAGGTTCTCATCTGCTGATGAAGCTACCAGTCCCTGGAAAATTAATTTATGCCTGTTTCTAATAAGCTGTCAGGTGCAGAGAGGGATGTAAAATTAATCCAGTGGCAAAAATAAGGCAGAAATGCTGCATGCCCTTCCGGGCAGAGACAGGCTAAAAATAGCTTTCCTTGAAGGCAATACCTTTCAGCGTCCCATCGCGGACTTGCAGACAACATTCCTTGTAGCGGTGAGGTAATCAGGACCATCGTTTGGGGCAGAAGACGTGGTTATCTGGGGTGTTAGACAACAGGAATAATATTTATTGCTTTTAATTCAGCTGCTGGATAATTTGGGAGGTGCCGTAGCCCCTCTGGCACCGGCCATGCTGATGCATCCCGTGATGCTCGTGCCAGGCATCATGTCCTCTCCTGCTTTCCACCCTGGCACAGCCGATTGATTGTAGATGTTTTTCAGTTAAACAGGTGAAAAAGTTTTCTTTATTTCTGTGATTTTGGTGTTTCTTGTGAATTCTCCGGTCTTGGGCACAGACTTTGGAAATTTCTCTTTTCTCCACTTTTTTTTGGCTTATGATTTTTAAACCGTTAGCAGAAAATGAGCGCCACTCTGGCTCTTTTGCCGATCATTTTCTAAGAAAAATAGCCAAGTTTTTCCAGTGTGGATTCTCCCATGTCTAGTTGTGGTTGTGAATCCCCTGGCAATGCCATGAAGCCGGAGGGTGACATCTCCACGACGTGGGATGACAGCACATGGCAGCATCTCCATCCCTGGGACTCATCCTGGCCACATGCCCAACGCTTGCGTGGTTTGCTTCCTGACGTGCCAGGATGAGCTCACCCACACAGGCATCATTTGAGATCACCGGTGGAGAAAGCCAAAAAGCAAAGCGAAAGCATGAATTAATCATACAGATACAAAAACCCCTGAATATCGTGCACGCGTTTCAACCTGGAAATTCAATATCAGTGGGGAATTCGGATGGAAATAAGGCAGCCAGAGGTATTTTCCCAAGAAGGCTGGAACCTGGCAGCGTGGCTCATTTCGGAGGTTAGCTGATGATGTGACGAGTCTTCGAGCACTTGGGCTGACTCATCAATGGGAAAACTCAACTGGCAAAGCTTGAAGGGAATGGAGGTAGGCAGAGAGATGCTTTTGGCTGTCCTGGGAGAGTCTTGTGAGCTTCTCCTTGAATTAAACAGGAAAAATAGAAGACGTGGGTTTTTTAATGCGTGCAAGTCCCCGGCGGTGCTCAGATCCAGGGAATTTTATCAGCTTCGATAGAAAAGCAAATAAGAGAGGGAGAGGCTTGTAGTTACCGCAGATCTTGCTTGGAAGCAAGAACTTTATCACGGTCACAGCTCTCCCCATCCATCCACGTTTTACACCATTTCTAATTCACTGCTGAGGTATAAAAGAAAGCCTAAATCTTGGCCACGCATCTCCAGGGCTGTAGCAGCACTGGAAACCTGAATCCCCAAAGATTTCTTCCCCTTTTCCTCCTTGGCACGTGTTTCATCTCATCAAATGAACGGAAATCCATGCAGCAATGGTGCAAGATGCCAGGGTCATGATCCTGGAGAGCAGAAGACAATGGGGTCTTGCCATCAGCATTTTTTGGAAGAGATTATTTTACAGTCAAATCAACCAGAAAAAAAGTGCTTCAGTGGGATTAGGGTGACGAGATCAGGTTTAAAAGCTGAAAGGCATAAGCAGGACTCACAGGTCTTTGTTTTTTCTGAGACATTTTGCATGCTGGATTTCCCACCGCACTCCCTTTGCAGACGTGGCTGTGGGTTGTCTTGGCACTGGGAGGGTGTTTCATTCACTTTCTGGCGTGGTTTCAGGTCTGGTGACATGCAAGGGCGTTGCAAAACAGCCCACAACATTTCCTTGAAACGCTCCCAGGAATTTTGCCACTGCCTTGAGTGGAGGTTGAGAACCGACGTGCTTAGCACATGTGTGGCTGCCACATTACTCAATGCCCTCCGGGCACGGCGGCTGCAGCATTTTGGGATGTTCCGATGCCAGGGGACACAGCACGGACCCACCCCAGCACCAAAATGGAGCAGACGCCCCTGAGGTATTCTGGTGATACGTAAGAAATAGGGGCAGGAGCTTTTTAAGATTAAGGAGATTTTTAAGATTAAGGAGATTTTTATCTCCAGGTGTTTTGGGTGCCTGGGGGAGCATGTTGTGTTCCTGTCCCCGCTGCCATCACATTCCTGTCCCCGGTGGGCTCCTGTCCCTATCACCAGCACATTCCCATCCCTATTGTGCTCCTGTCCCCACTGCTGTTGCACTCCTGTCCCCACTGTGCTCCCATCACCATCCCACTCCTGCTCCCAGCCCAACTGTGCATCCCTCCATACCAAATGTGCATCGTCCCGGCTGGGCACTGCTCCATCCATGCCGGGCATCCATTCATCCATGCTGGGCATGACATCGCGGCCGTGCGTTGCTCCATCCCGGCCGTGCATCGCTCCATCCGGCCCATGCAATGCTCCATCCCAGCCATGCATTACATCCCGTCTGTGAATCGCTTCATCCTGACCATGCATCGCTCCATCCCAACCATGCATTGCTCCGTCCTGGTCATGCATGATATCTCGTCCGTCCATTGCTCCGTCCCAGCTGTGTATCACATCCCGGCCGTGCATCGCTCCGTCTCAGCCATGCACCCCTCCAGCCTGTCCGTACATCACATCCTGTTCCGTGCACTGCTCCATCCCGGCTGTGCACTGCATCCCAGCCGTGCATTGCATCCCGGCCGTGCATCACTCCATCCTCCCGTCCCACCCATGCATCACATCCCAGCCGTGCATCGCTCCGTCCCAGCTGTGGACCGCTCCAGCCTGGCTGTATATTGCTTTATCCCCGCTGTCCATCTCTCCATCCCGGCGCGGGAGCATCACCTCGCCGCAGCGGCTCGCATGGGTGTCACGGGTGAGCTGTTCCCACGCTGCGGCAGGGCTTCAGGCACAGGCATGGTCTCGGGGCAGCTGAGAAACTTTCTCCATTGCACCAGAAAAAGAAGTGAAATTTTAACACCCTCTTGCAAAACTGACCTCAAATCAGGGTCAAAGGGGAAGCACGAGCCCTTCTGGGGATCCGAAAAGCCGTAACTCAGAGCTCGTCACTGCCCCATCGCCTGGCCACATGATGCTCAGATTTCAGCTGCCTCCGGGGCCACGGGCTGCAGCCTCTGGCAGGGAAAACACCCTGGGAAGTGGCTGGAGGAGTCATGCAGCACCTGGAGTTTTTCACTTCCAGCTGCAAAATGAGTGGAGAAAAAAGGGGGCAGCGAGCACAGCCGAAATGCAGCAGCTGGTGGTGGGATGTAGCCGGGGCTTTTGGCCTGTGATGGTCACAGCAGAGGGGTGAAATTCTGTGAAAAGGCTTCATTGACCAGAGGAACTGCTACAAGTGACCGCAAACGTGCCGGAAACGGAACTTTCCCCTTCTCCATCCTCTGTGCACAGGGACAGCCATCTCACTGCCATCTTTTTGGAGGCTGGATGAGGCTCTCCCAGACCCGGGGCAGCACCAACACCCCATTACCCCCAGCTTGGCAGGATTTGACCCCCTTGGGTGCTGTTCAGCACAGCGAGCCAGGGCTGGAGAGTGCCAAATCTCCCTGTTGTGATCTCCATCTCTTTTTTTTTTTCTTTTTTTTAACCCCCCACCAGCGCCAGCACGATGCAGCCGCCCCAAGGATGTGGCCAACGCGCACATCGATGTGGGCAACAACACGTTGCTCAACACCCGCCTGCGCTACACCTGCAACCCGGGCTACAAGCGCAAAGCCGGTACCTCCAGCCTCATCCAGTGCATCCTCCGTGATGGCTCCACCGAGCCCGACTGGACCCAGACCACGCTGCAATGCATCCGTAAGCCCTCGCTTGGCAGCCGGGATGTGATGGGGAGCGGGGAGGGGGGACGCATCCACCACCGGCGTGGCGGAGGAGGATGCGGGGTGGCGTGGGTGCTGCTGTTGATGGTGTCTCCACGTTGTGTCTTCCCGAAGGGGATCCGGCTCTACGTCCACTAACCCCCAGCCCTGAGCTCCTGACCACGCCACGCACCGAGAGGACAACCCAAAGGGGTGAGGAAGGAGCAAACGCATCCCATGGGGGTTGGTTTGGGGCCACCGTGACCACAGCCACGGCAAAACCACAACCACTGTGGTGTGGAAAGTAAAATATTTCAGTTATGTGATCGAATTAATTCAATTGTCTGAAATGATGTCATTTCATAGCTGCTGGATGGGCTCTATGGTCCCCGCTGTGACCTGCCCGAAGTGGCCATGAGGCTGAGCACTGAAATAACGGTGCTACCCGGAGTGTGCCTTTTAATTTTTTTTAAATTAAAAGGTTTTACACCATTTTCCCCAGCAGGAACCACCGATGCCAGCCCAGTCTCCAGTCCCTCTCCAGCAGCAACACCCGGGCTTCCAGGAGCAGCCAGCTGGTCACCAGCACCTGATGGGCCGTCACCAGAGACATCCATACTGCTGGAGATGTCCACACCGGGACAGGGGACGGCCCTGGGGCCATCTCTGGAGACAACCTCACTGCCCACCGCCCCCATGAGCCACGCCACAGGTCAGGCCGCCTCTCTGGGAGAGATAACGAGGGGGCTGCATTTCAGCCAGCAAAGGCTCTTTTACTTTTTCAGTGTATTTTTCCCTTCTCTTCAACCCTCTTTTTAGTGAGGGTCCCCCCAGAATCCCTCCCTTTCCTGGCTTTGCAGCTAAAAATCTCCATTTCTCTCTTCTTTTCCAGCTTTCATCCAGATCCTGGGCCCTTCCATCGGTAAGCTAGCCAAAAAGCTTATTTTGGCAAGCAGGGGCTTATTTTCTTTACTTTTTAGCTTAAAAGTGCTCCTCAGGGCTGTGGGAGCTTTATTATCATAGAATAATAAAAACGTTTAGGTTGGAAAAGACCTTTAAGATCATCCAGTCCAACCATTAACCTAACACTGCCAAGTCCACCACTAAACCAGTTAAGGGGAGAGTAGCAACCCCATGCCTCCTGGCTTGGTGGCTTGATCATTTATAGTGAAAGTAAAAACTAGGAATCATTAAGGTTGGAAAAGACCTCTAAGATCATCAGTCCAATCATCAACCCAACATCACCATGCCCACTAAACCACGTCCCAAAGTGCCACGTCTGCCCATTTTTTGAACGCTTCCAGGGATGGGGACTCCACCACCTCTCTGGGCAGCCTGTTCCAGTGCTTGACCACTCCTTCCGTGAAGAAATTTTTCCTAATATCCAATCTATTCTGTGGTCGAGGGCAATGCCTCCGAGGGGTGAAGGATGCAGCACCCAAATTTCTTCCCTGGGTGGGGAGGGCACCTTGCGAACATGCACAAAGCTTTTTCGTCTCTTTGCGGAGCTGTTATGTTTGAGCTGGGCTGTGCCCTCGGCCGTGCATTGGAAAATGCTCATCGGCCACCGTGTCTCTCCCGCAGGGGTCCCGGTGGTGGTGGTTGTCAGTGTTGTGGCCTACTGCTACTGGAGGATAAAAATGTAAGTGTGCCGAGCCCCACGAGGTCTTTCCACCCCAGTGATGAGCTGTCCAAGGCCTCTGTGCTTTCCTGAAAGCTGGGGAAAGCCCTTCAGGTGCTGGTGACGCTCCTCTCCCCTCCGCAGGCGCGTGGGGCAGTACTACACGGTGGCGGAGACGGCCATCCCCATGGTGGCTCCCATTGCTGAGAATGAGGAGAGGTTGCCGCCCGACGTCTTCCCCATGGGCTGAGCACCCACCACCGGGAAACTCGGTGCACCCACCAGCCCGGAGGATGCTTGGGGCTTGGATGGAAAGCCGGACGCTTCCTCGAGTGGCGGTGGTGTGTGGCAGAGCATGTCCCGTTCCCCAGCTGCCCTCCACATGGAGCATCCTCGCCCCAGGGACATGGGGCTGCTCTTTCCAGCCTGAACGAGTGACTCTTGTGGATGAGACCGCTCCAGCACTGAAAGGTGTGTGGGTGTCCCATCGTGCGGCTGAATAGGGGGGTGGGTGAGCCCTGCAAGCACCCCAGGGTGGTGTGGAGGCAGTGGGTGTTCTGCGTTGGGAGCCAGAATTTGGAGGAGGTGGTCCTGTGGGTGCTGACGGGTGGCAAGGAGCGGGCCAGGGGCTGCCTGCCCAAGCAGAGGGCATTTGGGGTGTAGGGGATGGGGTTTGGGTGCTGGGGGTAAAGCTGGGCTGCCCTGCCCCAGGCAGAACCCGTCCCCTGGTCAAGAGCAAGGCCAGAGTTGGGCCAGATGGACACCAGCCCCTTCCCTAGAGCTGTTTTGCCACAAAATTGCCCCAAAACCCAGAAAGCAGCACTGCTCGTGGCAGATGGAGAGAGAGGGACCTGGCCAAGCATCCCTCTGCTGCGTCCTCACCCCCTTCCTGCTCACTTTCAGCCATTCACCGGTGAGTCCGCAACTGCAGCGAAAGGTGCCGGCACCGTCCTGCTGCGGTCACAGATATCGGCACTCGTACGCAGCTCGTGGATCCTTCAGAAGCACTTTCGGTGCTGACCCCAGGTGCCTGCCAGCTCTGGCTGCTCACAGGGGACCACAAACAGGAGCGATTTCACTATAGACGCTACCAAAGACTGAATTCTCCTGGAGAAACTGGCTGCTCACGGCTTGGATGGGCGTACTCTTCACTGGGTAAAGAACTGGCTGGATGACCAGGCCCAAAAAGTTGTGGTGAATGGAGTTAAACCCAGTTGGTGGCCGGTCACCAGCGGTGTTCCCCAGGGCTCAGTATTGGGGCCAGTTCTGTT